AACACAGCTACCATGAAAAAGAGACTTGACTGTCTGGCCCCATTTTACAGATGCAACTGTGACACTGAAAGAGATGTGAAAAGGCAGCTCCAGGCACACTGGGCACATCACCCTTTATTTTCTTCATAGCACTCATGACTGATAATTGTGTTTATTTTTGATTTTCAGTATAAGCCACTGCAATTTTAAGTTCTGTCACAGTAGAAATTTAGAGACTTTTGTTCATTGCATTCTCTTGTTCCCCATGCCAAAAGCTATTCCAGGCACATACCCAACCAAATGGATAAAAAATCTCCTATATGTAACATAACTGCATAAATATGGGGGGGGGGTGACACTTTAAAAGGAAAGGCAGGGGGCCGGCAGGTGGCATGGTGGTTAAGGGTGCTGGACTCCCACATGGCTGGCTGTGGTTCGAGTCCTGAACCTGGCAACTTGCTTTCTCACTTTCTCTCTCTCTCTCACTCTGTCCCTCTCTGGTCAAAATAAAATAAAGTTAAATAAAATTATTCTTTAAATAAATAAATAAAAATAAAAGGAAAAGCAGTTCTTTCATTATGTTAAATTCAAAATATTTAGCAAGGCAAACGCAGGCTTAAGACTGGGCAGAGAGAAGAAAAAGATGACCAGCATTCCATGGAGTGGTACTGTCTCTGAAACCTGGAGAGCAGATGAAACCGCCTGGGATGGAGACGTTACAGCTAAAGCAAACTCTGGCAACTCTACAGAGTAAATAAGGGAAAGACACTCTCAGAAATAGTATTTTTTGCTTGGCATTCCATTTAACTATGACAGAGAAACCAGCCGGCAGAGAGAACAGACAAGAGCAGAGAGGATGCCTCTGACGAACGAGCTCAGACAACACCAAGCATGAGAGAAAAACTGGGAAGTGCAGAAACCGAGAGCAGGTACTTGCACCTGACCGTGAGGCAGTGCCTGCAGAGCCAGAGACGTGCAAGGCAGCCTGCAGGAAGGGCATGGCATCTGAGGAGCCGAGCACAGGAAAGGTGTCCGCCGCCCGGCTCAGGTGGAGCTGATGGGCTGCGGGTGCCTGCAGCATGCCCAGGCCCAGGAGGACTGAGGAGACAGAGGACTCCAGGATTTTCTTTTTATAAACACTAAGAGGAAAATGAGATAAGACCCTCTTACATCAACTTCTACTGTAACAGACAAATCACACGAGCACTCCAGACAAAGAGGCAAGATTCCAGAATGAATGTTCACTGCTACTCTGAGCAAAAACGGAATGGTAAACAATAAAGATTTCAAAATTAAAACAAAAGAGCCACTTTAGAATTCTAATTTAACCTTCAAAAACAGAGATGATGTAAAGCACCATGAACTGAGAATTCCACTCCACCTCAACACCCTATACTCCTGAGCTATTATGAGAACAGACTGCAACGCAATTCAACTCCTGTTCCCTAATGCAACAAGCAGCTTCAACAGGACACGCTGAAGAAGCAGCACGTCTCCTCGTCTCCTCGTTTACTGATTCATATTTGGGTAGCAAGGTTACAATTAGCTCACCGGTGGAGAATAAACCTATTTATAACACAGCAGTCCACCTGAAAGACACAATCATCCAAAAAGGTTTTTAGAAGAAAATAAAGTGCAGCTTCCTCCTGCACTCACTGCAGATCCCCAAGGTCCTTTCAGATGAAGTCCTCAGTCTAACCTTCCTGTGTTCACAGCCACCATTCTGGCCACCTCTCAGCCTCCATGTTCTTATGTAACATTTACATAGTGCCATAAACATACCAGGAGTTGCGTAAGAATTAGAACGTTGCCAAACCAATAAAGCCTAAAGCAGGTCACTCCCTCCAGACCGCCTTTGATTAGCGCAGGTATGCTGCCCGTCCACGGTGAAAGGGCCTGCCAAAGGCACAAATTAACTTGAGGAAATCTGAAACAGGTCTACAAAAAGCACAAATAAGAAGGAATGAACCACACAGTGACATGTGGCCGCCTATCAATCACAGAGTATGTTATTCTGCCCCATAAGATAAAAAGTAACCCAACATTGCTTATTCACTGAAGTCAGAAACGGCATCTAAAAATACCTCCCTGCCAACTGGCTATCAGTCAGTCTCACAAATGTCCCAATAAGAGTGACACAGAATGAGTTCCCTACTTTATGGGGAGAAAACTGAGGCAGTCAAGGAAAGGTTAAACTACTTGTTCAAGGACACAACCCTAAGGGAGCGAAGTTCTGGAACGGAGAGTCAGCCTCCTCCCTCCACCTGGCTCTAACCTTTAACCAGAGTAGCCATTTTAATAGGCTTTATCACATCTGTTCCAGGAGCTGTGTTAACAAAACTTATCAGAGATTCTCTCTTCCTTTACAAGAGCTCACTTCCACTGTATACCTCAAATCCATGTCCATGCAACAAAATGACAAGACCTGAGTTGAAATGAGATTTTGTCTATTCTCAGAAATTAAAATTGTTTCTAGCAGAACTTCAAGTGTCTTTCTTGTTGCTTTTGTCTTAGATGAATGTCATGTTCTCCTGCTACTAGCTCAATTTGACATTTTTAAATATTACAGTGAAAACTCCAAAGCTGGGCTTTAAAACACCTATCAAATGGATGCTGTTTCTAACCCGAAACTCCTTCTCCTTATCATTGGCCTTTTTACCAAGCCCCAGTTAATTCATTAATGAACAGAAACCCCTATCCCTTACTGCCCTCATCTCAGGGCCAGTACCGGCATCCCAGCTGCCTAGCTCTCACTCTTCCAGCCCACGTAGGGAAACACTACATAGGAAATGCAGGGGAGGAAAAAAAATCAACTTCTTGTTATCCCACAGCCTCTATTTTCCCAGAACTGACGTTTTACTTTAAGCCTTTTGCAACAGTGGTCTCTGTAGCATGCACTATTGGCAACTAGATGCGTCCCGGAAAAAACTGTAGTGTCTGGCCAAGAAGTTTAAAGGCCTTTGAGAATGTTTGCTGGACACACAACCTAATTTCCAATTTACCAAAAAAAGAAACTTAACTTTCTATTATGCCCACCCACCGTCACCCCAACAAATATCCATTTTAGGAAGGTTACCAAAAAATGAACTCTGCCCCATTCCAAACCAGCTGGATTATCAATTAAACACTCTTAACTAGTCTCACAACAAGGAAAACCCCAAAGACACTACACCAGATCAGCAGGGAAATGACCCTGGCTATATTAGGGACAGGATAAAAATTCTTATGGGAGGAATTTGCAGATTTATTCAGACACACGTAAAAATACAAACCTGATGGCTGAGTCCTATTTTTCCTACCCCACTAGACAAACAACACTGTTACACATTCCAAAAACATGGCCTATAATAAGGCCCAGCCACATCTTTTATGAAAATCATACACCACACATGTCAGGCTCTGTCATACACCTTCACCATGTTTATCAGACCCTAGCGCCCAGCCACCTATGCCACAGAACAGCCAGACCAAAGAACACATGCGAGGTGCCTAGCAGAAGCATTAGCCAGTGAACAAAGACCCCACTGCAAGGCTATACCACTGGGAATAAGTATCAAAGCAAGAGATAATGAACTTGCTTTTTGAGACTCCAAAGTGGCAGGGTGTCACTTCTTGATGGTCTGGCTTATTTAAGAAGCCTGAACCCACCTGAGAATCATTCTTTTTAGTGGCAATGAGAGCCACAGAACACACACACTTGATCTCCCCTAGCTGGAAGGTTAGGGGCTGCTGAGAAGTCAAAGCAGCAGGCTTTGTACATCGGGAGCGGGTACAATCCTGATCGGCTCTCCCAGATCCATCTGTGGGTCAATAATCACTCCAATACAACTGCCAAACATAACCTTCATCTGCCGCCCCAATGCCAACACACGTTTGAGGCGACTCTTGTTAAATGAAATATGCTCTTCTTAGACCCCAAGCCTCCTGAACAGCACACCCGGTGGAGTGTCCCACAGAAAGGCATCCACCCCTAGGGAGGGAAGGGCGGAGGTGGTGTCAGGCGAGCAGAAGGCGGTGGGGGTTGGAAGGTAAGGGGCGTGTTGGGGGTGCTGGGAAGAGGGATTGTGCGGGAAGGTAAATAAGTACTGACCAAGGGCTAGGGAGATGATTCAGTGGTGGGATCTTTAAATCATCTTGGGGGTTGGAGGCAGGTTCTAGGATTTCACCTGAAAGGCACCCACAAAGTGATTAACTCAATGGGCACCCTGCGGTGGGGTGGGGGAGGTGAGGAGGAAAGCAAATACACCTAGATTCTAATGAACCTTTCGGGAACCAGGTTTCATAGGGTTAGAGAGACTCAAAGCCAAGCTCCAAAAGCGTTTAGGGGCCTGTGCGTCCCACTTCCTCCAAAGGGCTCCCACGGGCTTGGGTACTGGAGGCTGGGGGTTCTGCCCCACTGAACTCCAGGGGCTGAGGGAGGGGAAATGGGACTCCCTTCCCCAGAACATTAAGGAGGCAAGGGCGGGAGGGGGAGAGACACCCCAAGCGCAGGATCTGAAGGAAAGGTTAGAGACCCTTCCCCTACAGCCCGAGGTGCGCAAGGACTCTTAACGTCAGGATACTTCGGGGCAGCAGAGACCCCGTCGCCTGAACCCCACAATCTTGGCGGGAGGGAAGGCGCCCCCCAGGCGCATCTGGAAAGAGAGAATAAAGCCCCTCGCCCCAGGACATGCTGAAGGGCAGAGGCCATGGACCTGCAAATCTTGGGGAAGGAAGCTCGGATCCCCCTCTGCGAACACGGGGGCACAAGCGCGACCCCCGAGAGCTCCCCAAATCCAGTTCCGCCTGGAAGAGGGCTTAGTCCCTAGGGGCCCTGCGTGAGCTGGGTCGCGGCTGCACCGCCGCGCCTGGGAGATCGAGAGGAAGCTGAGCGGGGGTCACCCCGAATCCTCCGCGCCCCCCGCCCGGCCATATTGTGCGCGTGGAGAGGGGGCGCGCTGTAGCCCAGGGGCCGCGGCTCGAGGCCTCGCCCTCGCCCGGTCCTCTCCATCCCGGCCCCCGCACCCCGCCCCGGGACTCACCCTGGATCCCCCGGGGCCCGGACC